TTTCTATGTTGCTAATACATTGTTTCATGACTATTTTACTTCATTGACAAAGGAAATTCTATGACTTGAATAAGATAACTTGAAAAGGTAAAATAATACTAATTGGTAGTCAAATCACAAATTGTTCTTAAAATGGTTGCACATTAAACTAATTTACACATGCTACTTACATTCCAGAAACAAAACAGCAAATGAAAACAAGAAAGTATATTATGTTTGTGAATGCTGGTGAATCAAATGTAGCAAATTGCCAAAAAGAAGAGTGATATATGTTCAAATCATGCCAAGACTGTAATCAATATTGGGTATCATGTCTCTAGGGATTTGGGGAGGTAAGCAGGGCAAAAAGAGGATGGCTAATATTAGTCTCAATAAATTATTTGCAACGTCCAAGAGATATAATATGTTAAGCATAAGAAGAATTTTAAAGTTTTGTATCCAATGTCAAAAACTGCAAGGAATCTCTTGGGAGAGGAGATGCCTGTCTTGTAGTTTATTCTATGTAAGTGAAGCTGTGTAAGATAAAACATCATATGTGCAAATCAAATTTCTTTCCTGGACATTAGTAATAAACTGTAGAGTTCAAAAAAGTAAAGCATCTTTGTAGTCCTGTGCTCTATTGCTAGTAATGATGATTATTTTATTGGAGGCCAATTCCAGGGAAAACAACAGGTTTGAAAGATATCTAAAAAACTTAAGAAATTTGTTTTCTGTAATACCATGTAAACAGTGAACAATAAATGTAAAACCTAGAATTTCTCATACCTATTTCACATATTAATTATTAAACTATAATTTCCTAACCTTTTAAAATAGAAGTAAGTTGCAGTATCAAAACAACTTCCAGATTTTATGCCCTAGCCTTCTAGTTGTGGTGTATTCTTCTAGAAACGTTATAAAATGAGACACTAGGCTTTATAGGAACCATTAACCTACTGTAATACAAAACTTCAAAAGCATAATCTCTCTTTATATGAACTAATCCCTGAATTTTTCTGTGCCAAGTGTCATAATTATCTGTTAGAAGTGAGTGAATCTACATTTTGTTGTTTCTCTATGCACAAATCAGTGTGACTGAAAAACAGGCAAGAAGAGAAAATTAACTGGAGATGGTTCCAGCTTTCTATCTTTATTAACCCCTGACAAGAAAAATAAAGCTAAGAGTTAGGGGAGTGGGAATCCTGTTCTTTTTACACTTAACTTTTATTCATAAAGGGCTTGACAAGCCTTTCAATTTTCTGTCCATGGATGGTATACATCTATATTCATATAAAATATCTACTAAAGCTAACTGGAAATCTACTCATAGAAGCTAAAATAAGACCCTGAAAGAAAACAATCTTCTAGCAATAGTCAAAGAAATGAGCATTTTAGACTTGATGCAAGAGTCACTTTATATTACATAAATTCACAGGACGTGAATTCTAACTCAAATCTACAAACAAGCAATTGACTCATAATATGTATATAATTGCTGTTCTTCTTCATGTTGCTGTTATTTAATAGTCAACAACTGAATTCTGCTCATGTAACTAATGTTTAGTTTTAAAATAATAACTGGAGAAAACTGATCAAGGTCAGATTTTGCCTTTTGAGAACTTTAAAATATATTTCCATACATTTTCTTTCATGGTTTGAGAATTGAACTTTCTAGCTTTCCTATCCAGCAGGTGAGTTTCTTTTTAATTTACTTGTAATACTGACAGATGGCTTCAACATGCACTCCAGTTTTCATAGATAGCATACTAATACAATAGCCCCAAGCAAACTAAATCTAGTCTAAGGTTTGCTGCTAACTTATTGAGCCACTTGGAGCTCATTTATGAAGCTTTGCCTTTCTTTACATCTTTTCTGCTTCTCTGATTGCTTCATTTGAACATTACAAAGATTCATAATTTTATATATATATATATTCTTTAAATGCTAAAATATGCTCCTCTCATACACCATCTACACTCTATATAATACTGTATACAACCAACAGACATAATTTTATACAGTTTTCCTTCTGGCAGTTTCTATTATTCTCTGCATTAATGATCCTCTTATCCTGTTAAGTAACTACAGCAGAAACCAGCATGAACAAAATCAATGTAAATAGTTGAATGGAAAACAACCCATAACATAGGCATGAATTGTACTTGAATGAAAAATAATTTTAGTTTCTAAAATTTAACATGCAGAACATGTAGGCTGTTGATTCCAAATTAAAAACTGATAGCACTTGGATTCAACATCAAAAATAATAATGCCTTACGATGAAACTAGAATATTTTTGATAAGAGATAATTCAAATGTCAATTTTCTATTTCCTTAATGCAGAGATCGTAGAATTCGAGTAGATATCTGCAACCATGTATTTTCGTGTGTTAATGCCTACAATACTTGCATGTTAAATACATGGTAAATATTTAAGTAAGCTTTTTAGTTTATACAAAATCAAAATTCAATACTGTCAACCCATTTTCTATACTGAACTTAAAAATAACCTGATAGAGGATTTTTAGAGCAACACGTTTAATTACAAAGTGTTAAGGCCAGGTAATTGAAGTATAATTAGAGCAGTGATGAGATATATTCGAGGGAATAAACAGTTCCACAAAATTGAACTTATCTTGGCTCTGCAAGTTTGAACTCCAGAGTTGTTAGGAGCCTCAGGGAGTTTTAAAAATTTAGTTAATAACTTTAAAAAAATTCTTCTTGGTCCATACATTAAGAACTTGAACTCAATGTCTAGGAATTTCTTTTTTAGAAAGATTGCTTTACATTGGTTATAACTAATTATTACGCAATCATTGGATGATGTTTTCTCAAGCAGTGACACATGTGTGCATGTCAGTGTATGTAAAACAGCTACTGATTACCTGGTACAATGCATGCCTTAAGAAACACACAAAGAGAATTTGGATTGGAAGAAGAGTGGCTCTATCACTTGAAAAGAGAAAAGCCAGAATTTCACCAATTCATTGGATAGTGAATTTCACAGCAATCATGCCGAAAGAGACTTCAAATTTTATCTAACCATTCTTCCGAACAACTCCAGAACAATATTCTGTCCTGGTTCAAATAGTATTAACAATAGATGTGGGGCAAGTATTTGATATTCTTAATGACCAAGGCCTCCAATTATCTGGCTAAATGGTGTTCAGTGATATTGATTTCCCCCTCCTCCCCCACCCCCCGCATTCTTACTGCCACCTGTCCATCCCCTTCTGGAAGCGCGTATGCCCCTAAGATACTTTCAATGAAGTTCGAATACGGAAACACACCCATCCCATGTGCAAAATGGCAAATAAGCACGGAAGAGAATTTCTGGATAGGTCACAGTAAGACGACTGCTGGAATAGACTTCGAGTTTGGTTTTGTTTAACAGTCTCTTCTGGCCCTGGAGAGAGGAATCCTTGTCCCAGGAAGAACTAGCAGCGTTTTCATCTGCATTTCCCTCTGGTATCCCTCCTTCCCATCCTCAGTTTCCCGGGCTGTTACAGAGCTCACTCACGAGGCTCCCTCCCCCAGCCCACCCCCGTCTTTAAGCTTATTTGGAGGCTAGCAAAGTTTCCGCGCAAATTGCGAGCCCAGTTCCCACGTGCGTCGCTGCAGGTCTCCAACTTTCCCCATTCACTCTCTTGCCGGGGAAGTTCTGAACTTTTTTTCCTTCTGCGCTTCCCTGAAGCGAGCAGAGGAGGAGGGGGACAAAAGCGGACCGGGGAAAGGGGAAGGAGCGGTGCACGGCTTCTACCCCGAAACTCCTCGAAGTTGCCCCACTCCCGCCCCCTCTCGGTAGATCCTCCCCCACGGAAGGTTCATTAGCATAAAACTGGTCGGGCCGGGCACCCACTCCAGCGCTGGCGAGCGCGCGGTGGGGGTTCCGAGGCCCGACACACAAGGTTCTGGTCTGCGGGGTATCCCCGGGCCCAACGTGCACCTGCTGTCGGCGTGAGCTAGCCTTAAACGCGGAGAGAAGGGAAGAAAGGGGGGGGAGGGGAGTCCTACTTTATGTGTGTGTAAGACGGAGAAAGACCGGACACGAGAGAGAGAGAGAGAGAGAGAGAGAGAGAGAGAGAGAGAGAGAGAGCGCACTGTAATTCCTTGCCCATCAGCTTCCACGAATCTGGCAACGGGTCACCTTCTCTCCTAAAAGGAAACCCGATGGAACCCTCCTCGCATCCAGCTTTTTTTTTCCTTTGCACACGCACACGCTCGCCCGCGGACACACGCACACATGCGCGCACACGCAGACCCCTCCCCTAGACAGGCTTCCCCGGGGGACTTGGGGCAGAACTCGGGGGCAGTCCTCTTTCCCCCCCCCCCATCCCCCCCGCCGCCCCGCCGCCCGCGCCCCGGGACTGCCCCGGGGGCCTCAGGGCCGGGAGCTTTCCTTCCCATCCTGACCTCGGAGTGCCCTCCTCCGCTGCCAGCCCGCTCCCCGGACTTCCTAGTGGGCCCCTCGCCGGGAGCGTGTCTCCCTGATCCCCAAACCCTGCCAGGCAGGGTCATGACCTCTCCTCCCCACCCCCACCCCCACCCCTCGCCTGTCGGGAGGTGCTCCGAGGTGGCGGTGGAACTCAGGTGCCGAGGGGGGAGGCTTGGGGGGGGGGATGGATCGGAGGCCGCCGGGCCCAAGGAAAAAAAGGGGGGGCTGCGGCTCCGGGAGAGGCGCGCGGCGCTCCCCTCCTTCCCGCGCCTCCCCAAGTCCCTCCCCAGCAGCGCGGCCCCAGCGTCCCCGGCGGGTGTGGGGGACGGCGGGCTGGGAAGAGGCTGGCCTGGGCCGGGGTGTGGGTGTGTGTGTGGGGAGGGGAGCACCAACTTCTCGGGAGGTCGGGCGCGGCCCCGGGCGCCCCGGTGGAAAGAGAGAGACGGAGCGGGGAGCGGGCGGCGCTCGGCAGGGCGCGCGGCGGGCGGGCGCGAGGAGCGAGCGGCGCGGGGCCGGGGGAGAGAGGAGGAGGTGAGGGGTGAGACGGGGGTCCCAGAGAGCGGGGGGCTGGGGGGAGCTCTTTTACCTGGCGTTGGTGCAGTCATTGTAGAGGGTCTCGAAGTCCTTCCTGGAGATGAGTTTGCAGCGGTTGACTCCGGGCTGGATGGCGCCCAGTCCCCTCAGGATGCGAACCTGTTCCACATTGCACACCACCGGCGTGATCTCCAACCGCTTCAGCTTGGTGTAGACCGTGTGCAAGCCCCCCACCAAGTGCTTCAGGAACAGGTCGAAAGCCTGGGGCAGGCAGATCAGCTCGCAGCCCTCCACCGTGAAGGAAGCCACTTTGGCCCCCCTCAGATCCACCATTTTGCACTCATTATTCTGGGGGGTGTTTTCCACTGGGGACGGGGTTGAGTACACGGGCTTTCCGGGGAGGGGGCCGCAGCTGCTGCTGCTGCTGCTGCTGCTACTGCTGCTGCTGCTACTGCTGCTGCTGCTGCTGCTGCTGCTACTGCTGCTGCTGATGCTGCTGTTGCCGGTGCTGGCGGTGATGGGGGTGCTGGAGGCGCCGCCGCCGCCGTTGCTCGCGGCCGCCAGGCTGGGGTTGCAGTTGCCGCCGCCGCCGCCGCCGTTGCCGCCGCTGCCGCCGCCGCCGCCTCCGCTGCCGCCGCCGCCGCCGCCGCCGCCGCCGCCGCCGCCCGGAGAGGTGACTGTGGCCGCCGCCGCCGCCGCGATGGGCTCCGGCCGGAACAGAGTTGGCCCAGAAGGCGCCTGGGGCCCGATGGACGGAGCCGGAGACGAGGTCGCAGAGGAGGTGGAGGTGGTGGTGCCCGAGGAAGAAGCAGACGTGGAGATCGGGGGTTGTGGGGGGACCAGCTGGGTCGGAGGGATCAAAGCCGCCGGCACTGCCATGGTCACATAGAAGGGGAAACAGAAGGAGGAGAGAAGCGAGGGGGGGGGGGGGAGAGAAAAAGTTGCCACACGGACACACGCGCGCGCACACACACACACACACACACACGCACCCAACACCGAACACACTCACCCGGGAAGGGCCAGGGGGAGAAGGAGCGAGCGAGCAGCGCGAGCGAGGGAGGGAGGGAGGGGGGGAACAACCGCAACAACAACCACAACTCTCGGAGAGAGGACGAGGAGGAGAAAAGGAGAGAAGGGGGCACGGTGTGTGGGGAGGGGGGGGAAGGTGAGGGCCGGAGAGAAGGAGAGAGCGAGCGAGCGAGAGGAGCGGCGGCGAGCGAGCGCCCGAGGGGCGAGCGCGAAAAGCGCTCTGGAGAGAAACGCACAAAAGTGTCCCGCAAGTCGAAATGCGAGTCCTCTCCGGGGGGCTGAGATCCAGGGCTGGTTTGGGGAGGAGGGGAGAGGTAGGGAGGGAGGGGGGGCGGGGGCGGGGAGGGTCGGCTGTGGTGGTGTGGGTCCCGGCTCTAGCACAAAGTTAAAGATGAAGGTGAAAAGGAGGAGGAGGAGGAGGAGGTGGAGGATCGAGGGACTTGGGTGCTCCCTGGCAAGTACATTGATCAAAGATTGAGCGGGGAATGACAGAGAGAAAATGAGCTGAAAAGTGCTGGCTGCCGGCTGGACGAGTTGTTGTTGTCACAGGGTGCAGAGGGGAGGAGCTCCGGAAACTTGAAATACCCTTTGAAGCCGCAAAAACCTCACTCACTAGTATTAACCCAAATTATCCAACCAGGAACTCGGAGCTGAGACTCGAGAGTCACTGCGAGACAGAGAGAAAGGGGGGGGGGGGGGACACGAAGAGAGAGAGAGAGAGAGGGAGGGAGGGAGGGAAGGAGAAGGAGCGTTTTAGGAGCGGAGGAAGGGAGGAGGGGAGGGGGACCCCCCCCCAAAAAAAAGCCAGGACCGAGAAGAGGCGATCGGAAAAAGAGACGATCACCCACTTCTCTTACTACCGTTAGATTGCATGCTTAACACTCCGCTTCTTCCGACTACTCGCATTGTTTTGTTTTGTTTTGTTTCAAATCCTCTCCAAAAGCTTCTAAGCAATCGCCTTGCCAATGGAGAGAGCGCTCTAAATTCTTTCTCCTTGAAGGATTGATCTCCGCGAGTTGTTGTTGTTGTTTTTTTCATTCAGATAGATGGGGGGGGGGGTGGAGGGGTGAAGTGGGGAGATATTCCCACTTGGTGATGCTTGAGAAGTTATTTTGAGCAGAATTCACGTTTGTCAGCAAAGCGTAATGTCTTCATGCCTCGGGTTGTTTTCTGTCTCTGTGAAAAAGTATGTATTTATAGAACGACAGTGCGATTGTCCGTCCGCATGGTGTTTCAAGTTTGGGGAGAGAGTCAGTTCGACGTTGCGCAGGAATAATGGAATGCTTTGTGTAGAAAACCCTTGTTTCCTAATAAATAGGCTGCGGAAATAAATGCTTGCCATGAGAAGGATCGTTTAAATAACTTCACTTTCGCCCCCAAAGGTAGGTTAGAAATGTCTGCTGTATCTAGAGAATTTAAAGAGATCCGGAGCCCCTGAAGATTTACAAAGTGGGAAGCCAAACCACACGGATGTTTCTAACCCCAAACTCTAATTAATTCACCTGTCTGGCACAGTAACCAAGTCTTGCATCCTTTAGAACCTGAGAGTCTCCTTGTTAATGCCATTTAAGGAACACAATCATTGTTGTTGTTGTTGTTTTGCCATTTTTGAAAAGTGCCACTATAGTTTGGAAAAGTCCTTGTCACTTTGTTAATGAAAATGGGTTTTGTAAATAATGAGAAGAATTAAGCTCGCCGGTTGTCTTGTGAAAGCAGAAAGGGTAGCTATGCTTCTAAGCAACATAAAGCAGTGGTGAGACTGACTCCTTTGGTCCTTCTTTCCCTCCCTTTCCTAACTTGTTGCATGGAAGTATTTATTCAAGGATTTTTTTGAACAGTTTATGATCTAGACCTGGGTCACATCTGCTTGGTGCTTATATCTCTAGGAATCTTAAATAGTTAGGCTTTGAACCTGTCTGCGCTCGTTCAGTGATTTCACAAGATATGAAACAATGCCCTGGCATTTGACAGATTTTAAAAATAAAGCATTAGTTCACAGTTTTGGCAGATTTCATAATGAAATTTCTGCCATTTTGCCTTTGAAATGATCGGTTTTCACTGTTGTTTTTAGTCCTTTAGACTCTTCACAGTTTAGTGTCAAAGGGAACAGGAATGGTCTACAGAGATATGTTAGGCTACTGACTCATTAATTAGTCTATATTTATGCTAAACTTTGGGGGCCACAGCAGTTTGATCCAGGAGGCTTTCCTGGGTCCAAAGAAAATTAAGAAAATTGGTGCAGAAAAGTAGATAAACTTCTACAAACACAGCTGCTTGGCCTAGCTGGCTATTGCATTTTCATATATTCAGAATATTTTTATTAATTTTCAGGATTCAAATCTGGCCTTAATCAAGGGTGGAGATTTGAAAATACTTTTTTAATGTATAGACACACATTTTAAGGTGTTTACGTATGTATTGGAAAACACTGCCATTTTTAAAATGTCAAACTAGTGTGTTAAAGCAGAGAAAAAATGAAGAGGAAAGATATTCAGCTCTGAAAAACTAATTTTTATAAAAAACTAACTTTAGAACTGTGCTTTTTTTAACTTTAACCAACACGGATGTGGTTTTTAAATACTAAAGCTATAGGTCATCATTTAAAATCTTACTCCCACAAAGAGGAAAAGATAAGAATTAAATTTCAAAAGTCTACCCTTACCTTTCTCATTCCTCATATTTCCCTAAACTCTCGCTCATCCATTACCTGCCACTCTCTGAGGCCACAGACAGGAAGCAAGGTTAGCAGACTAAGCCATAATTCCAACTCTGCTTCGCAGGAAAACCTGCACCCTCAGAGCACGTGCTCCACTCACCATCAGAACTGGGAGACGTTTACCCCAACCTGAATGGACATCAGGTCTCTAAAGCAACTACCACTTTACTCCTTTGATCAAAGGGATCAGACAAGGCGCATAAAGAAATGACTATACGTACAAAAGGAAAACCTTGAAATTTTAAAGCAGTTTCTCTTTTTTTTATCTTTCTTTTTTCTTCTTCAAAATATTCTGATTGATGGAGACAAACTGTGTTTAACAAAAGCACATAGATTAACTTGAGAGAGATTTCAACTTCTCATTCCCTGGCATCTGTAGCTTTCTGAGCTTTTGTCTTGTTTGTTTATTGTTTTGCATCTCTGGTTGTTCCAGGTCCTCTCCCTCTATCTCCACAGCCCCCAACCTTCACCCAATTTGCATAAGCAAAACTCAAAGTACTGTAACTGATATTAGAAAATTCTCCTTGTGTTTCGTGAAGACGCATTGTGCTGAAATCAATAAGACTGTTTAAAATTCAAAGACCTGCAAATCGCTCTGTTTGTCCTTTGATAGGGCCTGTGCTGATTAAAATGCTACCAAGAAAGCTTAATTGCTGCACTAATTAAGAAGTCTTTAATTTCTTTCCTAGGATATCGTTTGATGCTTAGCTTGTACCAGTTCAAGGAAGGTATTTTCTTCCCTCCTTCTGCCCCCTTCTGGCCCCTCCCCACCCCTCCCTTCCCTTTCCCCCCTGAGGAGAAGAGATCCGTAAGAAAGGGAAAGAATGGGAACTAATAGGGAGAGTGGTCTCAGGTCTCATCATCTATTGCTTAACAGAAATCGGGATAATCAGGATAATGAGTTCAATGCAATATGAGATGCAGTTTTGGGAAGAGCTGTAAGGTTGTAGGAGGTGGTAAGAAAATGCAAAGTAGCTGTTGCAGCTAAAGTCCGGGTGAATACCTGGTGACAACAGGCACTTTAGCGGATGATGAAGGCATCCTATTTGGTTAAAAGGGGCAGTGACAAGGAAATGAAACAAGGACACATAAAAGACTTTCTAAACCTGTGGTTTAACAAAGAGAGAATGGATCTGTGGAAAGATGGATTTGTGGTTGGTATTTGGTAAGTATCATTTTTATATTATGAGTGTAAAAACATGAATTGTAGGAGGATTTATTTTGACCCTTTTTCTAACCCAGAGAGGCACAGCACTGTATTACAACTACAACATCCTTATCTATTGACCTATTTTAGTCACTGATTTCTCAAGTGGGGAAACTGACTAAATTATTTCACAAAGCTTTCTCTCTAATCAATAGTTATTTTTTTAGGTTTATTCATGCTGAATTATAATTCTGGTAAATGCCTGCAAGGCTGAAGATTGTAAGAAAGATACCAATATTGACAAAGCCAGGATAAGTCAAGTTCTTAAATGTTCAGAGTTTCAATACAGCAATTGCTGTAGTTATTTTCAAAGTGAAAATGTATATTTTATAAGATATTTTAAAAGATCTCAAGTGTGTGAGCACCTTAAAGGATATATATATATATATGTGTGTGTATACATTCCATACATTCCCTTAATGTCTCAAATTTTCTTGAAAGCTTTAAGAATCCTCATCTTATGACATCTCCAAATGAAACAAATAATTCAAACATATGCACAAAAGGCAACTAGAAAAGATTCATGGCAATATTCTTTCCTTAATTTTTCCCAAGTCATATTAGAAACATGCACAGTAAAAAATACAGATGTGTACTCCAGATATATACTGAATTTTTCAGTGACAGGACAAGGAGATAACATGCTTCATGGATTCAAAGGGAGATTTACCATTCTGAGCACGACGTCACTCTAATTATGTTTACTCTAATTGAAGGCAAGGGTTGTTTTTTTGTTTTTGAATCTGAAATTACTTTCAGAATTTTTTTAAATAATGCAAGTGGATCAAATGTTGATCACAAGCATTTCAATCTTTCAAAATGTATTGGAAAATTAAATGAAAAGTAGAGTTTGGTACAAACAATGCCCCAGGGCAAAAAACAACTAACACTAGATTTTCCAGTCCAGCCATAACACAAATCAATTTGAGCACACTCCTATGGCCAGACTGCCAGATTGTTATGACTGCTAATTCACTCAATCAAAGAATGCATTAGCACACTCGGCACAAATAGCCTTAACAATAGAGTACAGTTCTCAACAATTCCAAGATCCATCACAATGCAGAAGTAAAGAGGAA